AAACGTGGCGTATCGTCGCTGTGAGATTCCGTAGAGCAGGTAAGGGTTCTACTGAAGCAGGACTCTTAATGTCTAGTTACAGAACAATATATAATGTCATATTTTAAAGAAAATTGTAAGTAATACTGTATGTTTTCTATAGGTATGTCTGTATGTATGTAAGCAAGTAAATACACAGAAAAATTTTTTAAAAGATCAAACCCCACTTCGCAGAAGGAATTACCCTCAGGGAAGATACTAAGATTAGAGGGTACTAGTCTGAAACGTAATTCAACCTTACCTGTCAATTTTAATTTTTTACAGAAGAGTGGAATTCGTGAATTACATGCATAATATAAAGTTAATTTTTAAATGTCTGCAAACAACCGATGAGACTGTAGTTCGATTTCATAGTTTCTCTTAATCTATTAGGTATTTCATTCAATATACACTACTTACCAAACTTAAAAGTAGATGACGTCTACAGTTATGCGTGGTTCCTTCAAAAGCACTGTTCTCCCAGGATCTGAAAACCTAGAAGATATACCCAGACTCCTGAGTCACGTTGACAGACTCACATGTGTTTCTCAGAGTCTCGCACAGCACATATGCTAACATGCTTGAAACGGTACAAGTAGATTGTATGGAAGACACTGTTAACCATCCTGCCTTCTTATGGTGCATGGATCCATTTTCATTTCCTCCTCTTTTTTTAAATTCTTTGAGTGTGTATGTGTGTTTGAATTTCATCGGACTAAAATACTTATAAATGTGTTTTATTTTTTACGCCTGGAAAAATTTTTATTTTTGTAACTAGCTGAATTTTACATTGTACGCTCACTACATTTACCTGTGCGTTTCCTGGGAGCAAGGGGGTGGGCACTGTGATCACTTCAGGAACCCAGTTTTCTGGTCCCGGATGTGCCATAAATGAGCTGGGTGACTCAAAAGAGGCTAAATTCTCTTTATCTCTGTCTCCCTCTATAGAGTGAGAAACTACATGATTTGGGTGGGAGGAGGAGGAGTGTTTTAGGTCTAATATTCTGTGATCCCATGTACTTGCTTTTTCAAAGAAAAGACCTAGGGCAGCATTATACATTTGGAATTTCTTCATTGTTAAAAGATGCTACAGAAGATCCAGGTTCTAAAACATTTCTGATCCTCAGACTTTTCATGATACCATGCTGGTAGCTGAACCTTCTGCAGAACTTTCTTTGATCATCAGAAGACTCTTTGTAGCAAAGTTCCATTTAATACAAGACATGTTTTTATAGTTAGAAATTCCATTATAAACAGCCAAAATATTATTATAAATAAAAAGTGTTTACAAATGTCAGAATGAGAATGAAAGATAAAGCCACAAAAAGAAACAGTAAAAATGCTGAGTACAGTGAAACTGGAATCCAACAAAATTATCCCCCAAATGTCAAATGCAATAGAAACTAAAAATATTACAAGCTAAAGAATTAGACTTACGTAGGAAATCTAAAACCTCTATACAGGAAACTATAAATGCAGTCACAGGTGAAATATTTTTTAATTGAAGT